GAAAGACACGCTCTTCTCCACGTGGAGATAAAGCCGAGTGATGGACACGGTCCCTGCTCGTAGTTTCTCCTCCATAAATACAATACTACAAAACTGCAGCTAATTAAAGGGTTAGCTAAGAGAGAAAAATAATATGTGCATAACATCAAGTTTTCCTTGGGCAATGTTTTACTTTTTCTTTAAGACAATTTCAAGTTTTAGAAAAAAAAGTTAGATTTTTTTTAACAGTTTTCCCCCAAATAAAAGGACATTTTTGTCTGGATTAGATCTGATAGCTACCAGGCAGCGCAGAGTCCAGAACTTTTTTTTTTTGCATTCTCAAGCACTTTCTATAAAATCCAATAATTGTTCAAACACATCTTTCATATCCAGCAGGATTCCAGGCAACCCATATATTCACACCTTTCTTCTGTGGATCAGCATGTTCCGTCAACCTGACGTGCCAAATATTTATATTAGAAGATTGGTGGGATGTTTGAATACAAAGCACTGGCAGAGAGACCAGGATTTATGCAAATCTGAAAAGAGGATCATAATAAAAATGCCCACAGTGCAGCTGCGGTGACAGGAGACTGCCAGCTTCAGCACACCAACACTGGGCCTGACAATAACCAGGACGTTTCCAACAACCAAAACTGACTGACTCCATCATCTGAATGTGCATTTCATGCTCAAAGAGTCTTTTAGTGAATTGCACGACAACCTCTGCGTATGTTTGCATGCAGTGTGTTGCAGGAGGAGAGCGAAGGCGGCCGTGATCCGGCCCGCAGGGTCATTATTAACTGGTAAATGAGGTTAACGCTAAGAGACATCTCCCTGTTGGCTCCAGAACCAAGCGTGGGATGTCACAGTGGATATGTCACAGAGCAGCCGGGAACAGTTTAAACTCCTGTTTCTCCTTTTGTTCCTATTCATCATTTTATTTGAGCCTTTATCACTCACTTTTATCGTCTGCTCTTTTATTGGACAAATGGCTTTTTCTCGTCTTTCAGACGGAACATGTGAAAGAACACAGCAGACCAGGAAGTATCAAGACGCATTATTCTGACAGCACTACACAGATTTAAAAAACAAATATTTGCTAGCTATAATTCAGTGTTTTTTAAAAAAAACAAAACATGCAGACATTTTTCCCTATTGTTTTGGGCGATAAATTTGATTATAATCTAATTCCAGTCTTCTTTTCTTTTATCAGCCACCTCTGGGCTGAATGATATTTTGTTTGTATCCAACTTTGTTTCTCAGATAATATTAAGAGCAAAGTCATGGAATTTTTAGGCAATTGCCTGAGAAAAATATAGATTTTGTATTTCTTATTTCTAGATGAAAGAGCTCCCAGAAGAGACAGTTTGTCTGTGAGACTATTAAAAAAAGACGAAGCAAACCTCAGTGTAAGGTTTTAGTCTAACTCTATCAGACTAACGTCATCTTCTCCAGATGAAGAGATGAGCAGCAGCCGCCGGCGCAGCAGATGGCCGCGGCCTTGACATTTACAGGGTCATCCTGACACTGTGGGACACAGAGCTGCTGAATGGAACTGGAACTTCATGGAAGAAATAAAGCAGGGCACCGCATGTTTAACCTCGGTGCAGGCTTGTCTCTAATGTTGCCAAGTTATTAATATTCATTTTCAGACCTGAGTTGTACATAAAATAAAATAGCCTTAATTACGCTTCACCACTCTCTGTAGCCCATGGAAACTTAGCTTAGCACAGTTAGCCATATCTTTTAAAGTAGCATTTAAAGCTCGCCATTTAAGGTCAACGCTGCATATTAAAAGTGCATCTTGTGCATTCGCTTGTTAGTCTCAAAGCTGTTCTAGTATTTGCAAAAATAGACAACCTACAAGAATTGTTGTATAGACAATACGTAAAAGTTTGCACTTTTTCATTTCTTAGAACTGTTTCATAACCTAAATGTTTTCAACAAACATCAAACTCTAATAGGAAAATAAATTGGTTTAAAAAATAATTAAGGTTTTGCATAGAAACTGAATCCACTGTTCAGGCTTCTGCTAATAAGGAGATGAAAAAACACCGTTCAAATGAACTCTGGCTCCACAGTGTGTTCTACCTCCTGCATGAGTGACTGTAATTATGGCCCATTTACTTGTGGTCTGACTGCAGCGATTGCAGGAAGCTTGTAGGCAAACACAACTCCCAGCTTCTCCAAATATAGGCCAATTTAACGGAGATTAAAGTGAGAAGACGACGAAAAGGGGGAAAAAAAACAGAGTCGCTAACAGTGTGAGGAGACGACGCGCGTGTGCCGACAGTATTATTGAAAGGTTTGTGTGAGCCTTCTGCTGGTTTGTCAATGCTTAGTTACACTACACGACTGAAAATTCGACTGTTAGCCTGAAGTAGCAAGGTTTAGTTAACTCAACTTTTAATTTTCTAAGGGTCATTTAGTCATACAGTACCATTCTTGGCGCCGCCAAGCGGATGCCATGGGAATTACAGGACAGTGAAGAGGATGTGATGTAACAACAAGGGTGCCATCCTGACATTTTCACCAGCCACACTGGTTGCTCTGTGATACATCTTCTAGGGGGCGCTATTGGTTATCCAACTATTAATGTATACGTAAAGATACATTAATTCACAGAAATCTGTCCAATACAGGCATGCGTTTGATTTAATTTCAATTGAAAAAAACAATTTCTATGCACTTAGTGAATTTGTGCGTAGAACAGTTATTTTTCTACATCCCTTCATTAGAATCCCCAGCATCTCTGTACGGCGGACACCTCTGTTGTCCAGCCTTTCCTTCTCTCTGTGGGCCTCTATTTCATCTCCTTCTTCACAGTTATTACATTTCACAGTTTATTATGCCGCAGCGACACACTGAAGCAAAGGCCATGACGCTGGTGCCTGCGAGCCGAGCTTCTCCGAGGGTTGATGTAAAACTAAACTGACAGGAGGGTTCAGCTGCATCGCTGTGGCCTTTCAAACGTTCTCAGAAAAAAGAGAAAAAGGTAGAAAACGAAGCCAGGGCATGTTTCTTCAGAGCTGCACCCTTTTTTTTTACACCTCACCCCTCGCCTCCTTCTGGCACACAGCTGCTAGCAATGCTGCAGGGCTGCTTCCTCAAATGAAGCTGCAAATGTGACACGCAGGCACAGATTCAGCCTGAGGTGAAGCAGCATCAAATACTACGAGTGAATATGGGTTGTGGTGTTACTAGTTGTAATTTGTACCAGAGCTGCAGACATGGCTGTCTTATCAGAACCTGGTTTAGGACCAGATTAGGAGTCGGTTTGCTGCAGGGCTGCTTCCTCAAATGAAGCTGCAAATGTGACACGCAGGCACAGATTCAGCCTGAGGTGAAGCAGCATCAAATACTACGAGTGAATATGGGTTGTGGTTTAGGACCAGATTAGGAGTCGGTTGGACCTCAGGAAATAAAAATGAAGCCAGAAATCCTACAGGGTGGACAACAACACGCACATTCTGTATTTGCTTTGTGAACCATTCATAGACATGTACACAGCGCCCCTGCTGGAGCTCCTTTTTAATTTATATCTTAATCCTCAACCTTACTCTAATCCCAAATCCAAGCTCAAAATACCCTCTTCTCATTTTTGGACCTGAAAATCTTCCACACAAAGACAGTGTCCCCACAAGGACACTATTTTGCTAAAATATGTCCCCACAAGTGTAGCAGTAGCAGGAACATACACACATTTGTACAGGTGTTCCAGAAGGAAGAATCCTTAGGAAAACCTTTGACTCTCCTGTGGATCATAATAAATCCATCCTCTCTTTCATGTTTCTTCCCCCAACACACTATTTTCTCTCCCACAATGCCCATCCCCCCTGCATCTGAAGAGTGGCTTGGTAAATAATTGAGGCATGTTCCCTCTCTGCTACTGTATCCTCCACTCTCTGCTGTTCTTTTTGAAGTACCCTCTGAGTCTGACCAATATTTGTTCAACAGACAGAGCAAACGGATCCAAAGTAGCAGGATGGAAGCAGAGGAAAAGGGGAGAAAATGCAAATTTGAAGAAAAAAAAACCCTTTATTCATCTTTAGCTGTGGCTGTTTTTAATTTGATTTTTTTTTTAACCAGACGCAGCCTGTAATTTACAGCGATTTCTCCCTTTATGACACATTTTCCAGCTACTTGCTATGCAGTGACGTTAAATTGCTCTATGTTTTATGACAAACTGCTCTCAGACTGCCGAATAAACTGTCGGTTTTTGTGGGGAAAAGCCACAGACGAGTTATGTTACATTTAAATGCCGCTCAGGAACCATTTATTTCTTCGGTTTTTAATGAAAATGTGATTAGAGGCTGCAGCAGATTCACCGGCTTTGTTTTATCAAGGGGTGTTTGCTGCCACCTGCTGTCTCAAACATGAATTGACTTTCTATTACTCTCGGTCATGTCCAACTAAAAAAAAACCACACACACACACAATAAGAACCAATGCAATTGATAACGATCGATATATACAAACGTATACACTGCAGACACTATATAAGTCAACATCTGACCTGAGGCCAGAAACCAAGCCGCTTCACGCGTCATACGTTGCCAATGTAATTATGACAGATTTAGTGCAATGAACACAGCACATTGTAAATAGACGCATGGAAAATGAGTTCAAGAGGAAAATTAAACATTTACCTTCACATATAATGACTCAGAAACAAGAAAATAGTGATGAACTCGAGGCTACAACCTCA